CACTAAGGGTGATCTATGTCCCAAAAATGTTGAATATCAAAAAAATTTGGCGTGAATATGACTGTCGGTTATAAAGAGGAATCTGTGGGCGAACTGATGCTATTTTACAGGTGCAGGCGATGCTTCCCACTGACGTTTTAAAAGACTGAGATTGAAATATTGATGAAGTCGAGAAAACTAGGCCATAAGTATATTTTATGAATTCGGCTTGGGTGAAACGTCCCGATCGAGTAAAGCGAGGGCAGCGTGAATAGACAAGAGATGTTACGGGGTTCCTTTACGGCGACTGACGTACTGAATATCAAAGACTAGATGCGACGAATAAAACGAACACAAAGTGTGACATTCATCACGTTAATGTCATCTTCGGTTGTTATTTGCTGTTAACTGTGTGTTATGACTTGACCCTTTTGTTTCCTGTCAAATGCACACTGGTGGTAAAACTAGTCCCCCGGCCAATTACCACTTGAGTGTTACTTGAATACTGTCCCCACGCCCCGTTCGGTTCCCTTGCCCTTTAGTCACCTTTTCCTACAACGTTTCACACTCCCACCCCCACGGCATCGAGACAACTGTTTCAAGGGCTACTTGTTATTGCCCCCTCCCCCTCGGGTTCGATTACAGCTGTCACCACCGCTGACCTCAAACGCTTGCAAATCACTCCCCCCCTTCCGGCACAGAATTGCCTCTGTTCACGTCTGCCCCACGGTCTCTGTTCTCCGCACCGTGTCCCTATTCGCTTCCTCGTTCTTTAATTCCTGCCCCTTATAAACTGGCAGCAAAGCGACTGCGTCATTCACACGACTGCTCGTCTAAGCACCTCGAATGTACGTCCACCCCTCCCCCTTTGTTTTTTACTTCGCATTTTTCTACCTATCACGCAATGTTAACCTTACTGTTTATTTCTGTAGAAAGACACCGATTTATCCTGTCTCTTGACAAAAAGAATATCCGAATATCCTGACTGTCATTTGACATAACTTCTGACCTCAGGTGCATCTATTCAGGTGATGAAAACGTAGCACTGCAATAGAAAAAGGCCAACAGTACTAACAGTTATTCGAATTATCTGACTGTACTTTGACATAACTTCTGACCTCGGAAACACTGCAATACGTGAAGCTCTTCAACTATTATTAACAGTTATTTGAGAAGCCCTTCAGCCAGTATTTACAGTTATTCTAGACGCTCTTCAGCTATTATTTACACAAATTCAACTACCAGTAGGAAATGACAGTTCTCCGATATAAAAAAAAACATTGATAAATTGGAAATGACAACGTACCGGCCGTCCACGCTGTCGTGAATGGACCCGTTCACCGATCTTCCGGATTCACTTAGCAGAGATGGTGCACGGTAGCCGGCATTGGATGAGGTAATTGAGGCGGTCAGTCTGGTGTTTTCAACAACGTTTGGGAGTGCGTACTCAGTTGACTGTTGGATTGGCGATTGGCCGTTAGACTGGGATACGGGTGGCCTCTGAATAGGCAGTCCGACATAGCCAATGGAGTCAACATCATCCTAGCAGAACAAAGGAAGACACACACACAGGCCTATGAGGGGGACATTATAAGAACCTGGCTAAGAGAAGTATGATATAAAGTGGGCAAAATATGTGTGCGTTGTCGCCGAATTGCGGCTTTAGGTAGAGCCAAGGTTGACAAAGTTCCCTTGACTCCGGGAAAATCAAACAGTCAACGAAAAAAAAGATAAAGTCAAGAAGCATCAGCGGTAGCATTGTCAGTCTTGGGCCTGACCTGCAAATCCACAAAGATGCTAGAGATTTAACGCTAAAGTGGATAAATTAGATGAAAAAAAACTCGGAAAGACGATGCATAGACCGGCTGTCGTTAGAGAAGGCGAAGGCACTGATTTGATAGGTGAACTGTAGACTGTTCATTCGACTGAAAGAAATCGCCGAGGTAAAACTAAACGAGTTTTCGTCATTCTCGTCGCCATTCCCCACGATCGTTTTTGACTTTAACTAAATAGTAGCTCCTGGTTTCTCTTGTAAATACCTAGTGGAAGTACATACGAATACTGCATTTGCAAAGTACAAAATGTATTCCGTAAACATCGTGATACTGCCCCATGATAAGATCCAAAGGGTTCCTCATCTGCTCTCTCGGGAGAAGAAAAGGTTGCTTAAGGACATGAGAACCGGAACCCCCTTATAGGAAGTTGTCATTTTCTCAAATTTCAGGTAAGATACGGAACGATTTATGTTTAGGATGGATTTGACGTTAGCATAAAGTTAGAACAAAGTTTTAGATTAGGGTATAGGGTAGGACCAAAATTAGGGTTACGGTTAAGGTTTATATTGGGACGAGTTTTTGCGTTAGGAGATCCAAATATTAACTCTTTATGACAACAGGACCACCGCTTCGAACAAGGCAGTCTTTAACAGGAACTTCTCAAAATGCTAAATATGTCTATAAAACAGAAAGGCAGGAGAAGTTTAGAAACAGGTCGATTGGAAATGGCCACGAAATTTCTTCTGGATCGTCACAGTAGTCTACGGCTAAAACTGATCGAATTTTTGCTACTGTTCCATTCCGACGGCATAATGATGTAGTCGGTGATGTCCCAGATAGTTGAGGAATGGATGAACACTTCTAAAGCTTTCATAATCGTTCATCTTTTGTCTACAGGGGAGCGGCCAATGGAGTTTGTTAAGCTGCAATCAACGCTGACGTTGGTTTCTTCTCAACCTGGCAGAAGACGACCTAACTGGCGCAAATATTGTCCAGTAAAAAGGTCCCGGGTGCATATACGATACCCACTACGATTAACAAACGGGTAGATTTTAAATATCAGAGTTCTATCGGGGAAGCAGATATACGAGTATAAACTGCGCAAAAAAATCGTACGGAATTTCAAACCATTCATTAAAATGATCGACCTTAAACTGATCTATTGCTGCATTATCTTCGCTGATCCGAGTTTTGTGGCCGATAAGTGCGTTGGTGATGGGACTGGTTTGCGTAAGTCAACCCGCCTAAAAAGGATAGTTTGTACCGTTTAGGGATTTGTCGGCGAAAACTTGAAAATATGCGAGTTGAGCGGTGTTCACACTGACAATGGACGGTCGATCCAGTTGGTCAAAACTTGAAAATATGAAGCAGCAATCATCTGTCAGAAGGATGTGTTTGATAGGACGTATATCCAAAGAAAAAGCCTGGAACATAAACGAATATCACAACTGCCCATTTCTGCAAACAGAAGGAACACTGGCAAGCCCGTGGCAGTAATCGGAGAATCGCTCGAATAAATACAGTTGGAAGACTTTTGGTAGCTTTCTCCGTTTAATCAGCTAACCAAGATTCCGGAGACGCAGTGGGCACTCCACAAACATAGTACCATCCCTCAGGTGTACTTCGCCGTTTATCAACTGCAAGATGAATAGTGAAAAAAAACTATCGGTCCGCCCACAACGCTTGTCGATCATAGTAAGGTCCTCGAGATTAAACTGAAAGGGACGTTGGGCGATAAAGAATAAGTTCGGATACCCACATAAGTTCAGGTAAATGACGATGCAATGCAACAAGGCTTATCTTCTGATATCTTCGTGACGAACAGGTTGAGGCAGGGTTGTGTAATCGCCCGACCCTATTCCGTTTCGGATACTCCGCCACTTTGAGTAACGCTTTAAGGGTTGAATACTCTGGAACCGATATCAGGCGGAAGAATGGTACGTACCTCTTCAGTATTAGATGAAACAGTAAAGAGGTCCAGCTTAACTACTCCTTAAGCGATAACAGCAGGCACGTCATTGTAGAATTCAGCACCCAACGGAGCCTGGACCTGCTCGCATTAATGCTACGCAGGCTATCAACACGAAGAGAACAGAAATCGGGCACAACCGATGACACTTGTGGAATGCGCCGAACCTATCGCCTCGTTGTCGTGGACTTATTTTCTTTCTGGGATTGATGGCGAGATGCAGTTCGCATTAACACCAAACCGAAGACAATCAAAGTCAGTACGCCGACTACGCCGCTCTTTAGCACAGAAAAACTTGCATCCTCTACCGGTTTCATGGAATCACATTAAATTAGCTGCATTGGAGCTGCCGCCGCTGGACCTTAAAAGTTGAGTGGCAAGTACGAATCAGAAGTTTGCATTCAAACGTCTTCAGTTTAGTCGGGACTCCCCATGATACGTGTGTGTGTCCTCTATCAGATCGGTGTACGCGTATCTGCTACTGTATATCCCCGATCTAATACCGAGAAGAGTGCGAGCTCGATAGCTCAATGGTTAAGGCGTTCGCCTCTGACCGGAGAGACG